AAATAAAAGCGCACAAAGTAAAAATAAACTTTAACAAAATTAAAAAAAAAAAAAGTTAATTTCTCAATAGAAACAACAGTAATGCTGAGGAGGGCGGATCACCTGAGGTCAAGAGTTCGAGATCAGCCTGGCCAACATGACAAAACCCCGTCTCTACTAAAACTACAAAAATTGGCCAGGCACGGTGGCTCACGCCTGTAATCTCAGCACTTTGGGAGGCCAAGACAGGCAGATCACGAGGTCAGGAGATCGAGACCATCCTGGCTTATACGATGAAACTCCATCTCTACTAAAAATACAAAAAATTAACCAGGCATGGTGGCGGGCGCCTATAATCCCAGCTACTCGGGAGACTGAGGCAGGAGAATGGTGTGAACCTGGGAGGCAGAGCTTGCAGTGAGCCGAGATCAGGCGACTGCACTCCAGCCTGGGCGACACAGCGAGACTCCGTCTCAAAAAAAAAAAAAAAATTAGGCCGAGCGCAGTGGCTCATGCCTGTAATCCCAGCACTTTGGGAGGCCAAGGTGGGTGGATTACTTGAGGTCAGGAGTTCAAGACCAGCCTGGCCAACATGGTGAAACCCATCTCTATTAAAAATGCAGAAAATAGTCAGGTGTGGTGGTACGTGCCTGTAATCCCAGTTACTTGGGAGTGTAAGCAGAATTGCTTGAATCCAGGAGGTAGAGGTTGCAGTGAGCCAAGATCACGTCACTGCACTCCAGCCTGAGCAACAGAACAAGAGTCTATCTCAAAAAAAAACAACAACAATGTTTTGAGAAATAAAACAAGGCTGGGCATAGTGGCTCACATCTGTAATCACAACACTTTGGGAGGCTGAGGCAGGCAGATAACCTGAGGTCAGGAGTTTCAGACCACCTGGCCAACATGGTAAAACCCCATGTATACTAAAAATACAAAAATTAGCTGGGTGTGGTGGCATGCACCTGAAATCCCAGTTACTTGGGAGGCTAAGGCAGGAGAATCGCTTGAACCCAGGAGGCAGAGGCTGCAGTGAGCCAAGATTGCACCACTACACTCCAGCCTGGGTGACAGAGCCAGACTCCATCTCAAAAAGGGAAAAAA